GGTGCAAGGCCCTGGAGACCGAGGCGGGTTTGCTCTGTGGGGCTTTAGCAGTGGTTCTGAAAGTCAGCTCTGCCCCAGGCCCTCAGGACTGAATAGAGCCAGGCTGCCGCGGGCGGGCGGGGCCGGCCTGTGGAGGAGACTCCAGTCCTGGTGCTCCGGTGTCAGGAAGCCAGCCCTCCTGGCCCTGAAGGGAAGTATCCCTGAGATACCGCAGAGGCCCAGGAGGGCTTTCCTGCCAACGAGATGTTTTAAAGACAAAGCAGGAATCTCTCTAATTAGGGTAAACAGCATCTCTGAGTAACCCTGAGAAACAGATGTGACCACATATTGCATAAGAGAGAGATTTTGTGGAACAACATGTTCAGGAATGAGCAACGATAGCAAAATCTTGCTGCAGCTGGGTACTGGTATATACACTGAGTGGCCAGCTTATTATGACCGGCCAGATCATTATGACCACCCCGTCAGTACTTCATTGACACTTCCAAAAATACTGAATATTGAAAACTTCCTAAGCAAATACTCTCAAGGTTTATTATTATTATTGTTATTATTTGCATAACTAATTCACTGTATTGTACTGATGGGGTGCTCATAATAATCTGGCCGGTCATAATAATCTGGCCACTCAGTATATATCCTATTATATATTTCCTTTATCCATCCACCCATTAGTAGACATTTAGGTTGTTTTCATATCTCGGCTCTTGTGAATAGTGTTGTGATGAATATGGGAGTGCAGATATCTCTTTGAGATACTGAATTCATTTCCTTTGGATATATTCCCAGCACTGGGATTGTTGGATCATTTCGTAGCTCTATTTTTAATTTTTTGAGTAATCTCCATAACAATCGCACAATTTACATTCCCTCCAATAATGTGCAAAGGTTCCCTTTTCTCCACATTTTCACCAATACTGATGCTTTTTTAATAATATCCACTCTGACAGATGTAAAATGATATCTCATTGTAATTTCATTGGCATTTATTTCCCTGATGTTGAGTATCTTTTTGTATATCTATGACTTTTTGTATGTCTTCTTTAACTAATGTATTTTTTTCCTTTTTAAATAGTTATTTAGTTTTTTTGCTATTTAGTTTTAGGTGTTCCTTATATATTTTGGATATTAAATCCTTTTCAGATCTAGGGTTTGCAATTTTTCCCCATTCCATAGCTTGCTTTTTTACTCTGTTTAGTATTTCATTTGCTATGCAGAAGGTTTTTAACTTGATGTAATCTCATTGGTTTATTTTTGCTTTTGTTGCCTGTGATTTTGGTTGTGTCATATTCAAAAATCATTGTTCAGACCAACGTCAAAACAATTTTCCTATGTTCCCTATGTATTCTTCTAGGGGTTTTATGGTTTCAAGTCTTTAAGTTTTTAATCACTTTTGAGTTTATTTCTGTATATGATGTGAAATATGGGTTCAATTTAATTCTTCTGCATGTGGGATATCCAGTTTACCCAACACCATTTATTGAAGAAGCATTTCTTTTCCCATTGTACGTCCTTGGCAAATTTGTAGAAGATCAGTTGAACATTAAAGCGTTAATCTATTTCTGGGATCTCTATTTTGGTCTGTTAATCTCTATATCTGTTTTATGCCAATACTAGTCGTATAGTGTTTTGATTTCTGTAGTTTTGTAACATATTTTGAAATCAGGTGTCATTATGCCTCCAGTTTTGTTCTCCTTGTTCAGATTGCTTTGGCTATTTTGGACCTTTTGTGGTTACACATGAATTTTAGAATTTTCTTTTTCTACTTCTTTAAGAAATGCCATTGAATTCTGATAGGGATGGCACTGAATTTGTGGATCACTATGCACTGGGTGAACATTTTAACAGTATTAATTGTTTCAAGCTATGAATACAAAATGTCTTTCCATTTACATGTCTTCTTTAGTTTCCTTCATCACTGTTTTCTAATTTTCGGATTAAAAATCTTTTACCTCTTGATTAGGTGTCTTCCTAAATACTTTATTCTTTTTAATGCTCTCATAAATGGGATTTTTTTCAAATTTCCTTTTTGTATAGTTCATTGTTTACATATAGAAGTGCTATTGATTTTTGTATGTTGCAACTTTACTGGATTTATTAGTTTTAACTTTTTTCGTTTATTCCTTAGAATTTTCTACATGTATGATCATGTCAACTGCAAATAGAGATAATTCCACTTTCTCCTTTCTTATTTGGATCCTCCTCTTTCTTACCTAATTGTCCTGGATAGCACTTGCATGACTATTTTGAATAGCAGTAGTGGCAGGGGCATCCTTGCCTTGTACCTTTACAGATCTGGAGCCAAGTCCACAGTGGGACAGGGCTGCTTATGGGACTGCCTCCAGGACCACAGTTGTCAGCCAACAAGGGGCCTGCCTTCTCAAAGTATTCTTCCTCAGTCCTGGACTCCACCAGGGTTTCACAACTTGGACCCTAAGGCTCATAAGGGCACTTGTATTCATGGATTGCTGTCATATTGTTGTTTCTGTGCGGGACTAAATCTGGGGATCTCCTAATCCCCTGTCTTGCTGACATCACTTCAACTATCTGTATTTATATTTATTTTGATTTTTTCCTAATCAGATATGCCAGGAAATTGCTTCCCTTGCAAGAAACAAATGGATTTATTTATATAATTATTCTGTTTATTTAATGAGTTTATTAATTTTTATATTTATATGTAATAATTTTCTAAATAAACTTTAAGATTAGGGAAGGAGAGGGGACAGGAAAAGATTAACTAAAGAATTTATATGCATGGACATAGACAATAGTGTGGGGAAGGCCTGTGGGTGGCAGGAGGGTGGTGGTGGTGGTATAGGGTGGAGGGGGTCAATGGGGGGACATTTGCAATACTTCCACCAATAAAGATAGTTTTGTATTTTTTAAAAAGAGAGAGAGATTTTTTTACATTTTATAAATTTACAACCCAGGCAATGAGTGATTACTGAGAGAAAAATATATCAGCACTAAAGGTATTATAAACAAACCAGAGTAAAGTTGTGCTTCCTAAATGATGATAGAGAAGGTTGTATAATTATTTTTTTCTCATTGCAATGCCCACCTAGGGGGTTTCTTCTAAATCCAGCTGCAAGACTGTTATAAACCATTCTCTGCAAAGGATTAGAGAATGTAAGTTGTACATGCAGCATTCGTTTAGAATATAGGTCACTTGCAAGGAGATGATCCCCATATTTGGAGTGAGCAAAGCCTACTTGGCTTAGAAACCTAATAACCCAAAGAAGCCAGGATCTCTTGTAACAGCTCTAAAAGCATAACTTCCAGGGTCACCAGAGAAACAGGCCCAATTACAAGAATTGCTGCATTCCAAGAAGCTCAAAGACATGGCTTCCTTTCATGTGTTTATTGTTCTCCCTGTCCAGGTGACATTTACTACACAGGGGTCATTTTACTAGAAGCTGTGTTGCCTGGGAAACATAGTTAACATTCTAATTGTATCAAGCTTCCAGAAGAACAGAGCTATAAATTAACCAAAAGCCAAATTCTCATTCCAAATAGGTGCTTAGAAATATGGGACCTATTATTTTTTGCACAATTAAATACTAATGCAATTTTTTGTCCTGTCTTTATAACTTAGTATTCCTACCTTAAATCCTATTTTCTTCTTTTGTTCTCCATGTTTTTACAGGTAAAATATGGAAACTATGCTTTTGTGTGGGATGCAGCTGTATTGGAGTATGTGGCTATCAATGACGCAGATTGCTCCTTTTATACCATTGGGAACACTGTCGCTGATCGGGGATATGGAATTGCATTGCAGCATGGCAGTCCTTACCGGGATGTTTTCTCACAAAGGTAAGGTTTGTGTGTGTTCTAAATAAAAAGAGAGGAAATATAGAAAAGAAAATTCACTTGGTTATCCTATTTAGTTTATTGTATTTTGTTTCCTTTGTTTGAAAAAGCATAATATATAGCACCAAAAAAGGTAGTTATATGAAATTCATTTCCTAAAAGATGTACTGAAGTATTGTTTTTCTCATAAAGGGAAGACGATCAAAACAGGAGCTTCCCCCTGGTGGTCAGTGCACACCCACAGCCAACCTCCTGCAGCCGGACCACCAACCGTGGTCCCTCCCCCAAGCCATCCAGCCCCCATCAGGACTGGGCAAGTTGGCCTTATGGGTCCTGATCGCTGGCCTAGCCAAGGAACCCCACCCATGCATGAATTTGTACACCAGGCCTCTAGTTGTTATATAACAGAAAGTGCCATTTTAATATTTTTTTAGAATTTAATTGAGCAATTTAGTGTGTGTGAATTTTTACAGACTAAGTGTCATAATTAGCACAATTGATTTATTTCTAAGAACACCATATAATAACATAAATTTCAGAACCAAGTTAAAGTTCTGATATACTAAAGCACATAATGACAGGGATATTTCCATCTGAATTTATAAAATAATATTACAGTCCATCACTTTATGTCAAAAAGTATAAGAGGCTTCTTCATGCAATTAAGGAAACAGGCTAATAAAAATTTACACCCATCCCTTGGAACTGGAGAGCATTATGCTAAGTGAAATAAGCCAGTTGGAGAAAGATAAATATCACATGATCTCACTCATATGTGGGATATAATGATCAATATAATTTGATGAACAAAAATAGATTCAGAGAAAAATGGCAGGGGAGGTGGGTGGTTGGGGGGGTTAGAGGTCAACCCAAGGATTTGTATGCATGCATATTAGCATAACCAATGGACACAGACACTGGGGGGGTAGGGGTTAGAGGTCAACCAAAGGACTTGTATGCATGCATATTAGCATAACCAATGGACACAGACACTGGGGAGGGGGTCTTGCCTGGGGTGGGAATGGCTTGGGGGGAGGGTCAATCAGGAAAAAGGGAGACATATGTAAAACTTTAGACAATAAATTAAAATAAAACTACTGTGGAAGGTAAATGTGCAAAAATTAAAAATGAATTATAATGCATTGCAAAATTTTAAGTGAGTTGTTTGTATATCATCAAATAAGGGCATTCTTTTATTTTGGGAAGCTACATTCTTCTGGAGCTTTATAAAGAGTGCTCCCTTAAAAAAATTATACCCATCCTTAAATAAGAATTTTCTATTATATGTTATTTAGTAAAGAAGATTTTGAATGTATATGTAATATTAACAATATATATGGGCCTGAAAGGAATTCACAAGATCACTGCATTCCATTCTATCAGCTACAAACAAGCTTGGACCTAAGAGAGAATAGTAATATCTTTCAGGTAGAGGAATATTCCATTGACACTGATAGTGCACTTTGTTTATTTTCTAGTATCCTTCTACATATTTTCTAAAAGCAAATGCCAGACCAAGAGGGAAGTTCCAGGTAGTATTAATGCCTCAAATTCCAAACTATTTGAGTTGTATTCTTCCAAATTTTAGGATAACGTAAAGCTAGGTGTTTTGTGTTATAAAAAATGTCTGAATTATGTGATATCTCTTCCACTTGCTAACTAAAAATCTAGGCCTCCTTTTCAGAAAAATAGGAAGTTAGATGAACTTTAAGGTCCTGTGTTAATCAGCTTTTCTGTGTAGTAAACCACCCCAAGTATCAGTGAACTGAAAGATGTTATTTCTCAGCTATGAAACATAAGGGCTGTAACTTGTAAGTTGTGCTGTACATTGTGGGTCTGCTCTCTGCAGCTTCTTAGTGCAGGCCCAGGCTGGAGGAGCAGCCCTATCTGTGGAACACTATTTCATTTCAAGAGCAATTGAAAGGAGGCTGATAGAAAGCTGCGGTGCCCCTTGTGCTTCTTGCGTGGATGTGGCATGTGTCACATCTGCCAAAAGACCACTAACTGAAAAGTCTCAAGCCCAAGCCCAAAAATCACTGGGATGGATACATGTGCCCCACATAAAGGGAAGATGGGAATAAATAACTATGAACAATAATATACTCTACCAGTGGTCCATTCTGGTTCTTAAAAATTCTAAGTATAAGACAAAAATGAAATATACATAAATTGTAAAGTAAAATGTTAAGATATAGATAGTAATTAATCAATCTAAATACATTTATTGATTAGTAGATTCTAAGACAAAACAATTGGAAAATCAGTTATATCTTAGGGAATTTATCTGCAAGATATTTGTCTAGTTGGAGATGAGACCCATGCATATAACACAATGACACTTACTTATATACAGTATTGGTATTGCTTATTATGTTATGTTAAATTATGCAGTTTGAGATATTGAAAAATGGGACTATCATAGAAAATAAAGAGTTAACTTAGGCTGAACAGAAAAAAATAGATAATACTTGGAGAAACAATGAAGAAGAAGAAGAAGAAGAAGAAGAAGAAGAAGAAGAAGAAGAAGAAGAAGAAGAAGAAGAAGAAGAAGAAGAAGAAGTAGAAGAAGAAGAAGAAGAAGAAGAAGACAACAGAATGTGTTGGGGACAAATTAGGACACCAAGTTAATCTGAAAGGAAATTTGAAGTTTAGAATTCATATTGTAGGTCACAAGTAGCTATGAGAACTATGTCTAGTTCTGGAGCCCAGAAGTAAGCTAAGGAAGATGGCATTTAGGGAAGTTTATAAGAAGGATGTATTCAAATAGGCATATATAAGAACAAATCCAAAGATGAGATAACAGAGGCCTGTTCTACACTGGAAATGAGTAGGAAGAACAAATAGAAGAGATGCTTCTAAGCAACGAAGCACACATTGTTTTCATGTATTTAGAACTGAGGTTGGAAAGCATAATAGAATGAATGGCGATGCCAACGTCTGACAGTGTAAGACCACAGAAAGGTTTAGTGGATCCTAACATGAACCAGGTGGTAGCAAAAAAGAAAAAATCCCTTAATTGTGGTTAGTGGCTTTTTATTCACTACAAATATGTGGAGGGTTTTTCCAGACCCAATTATTTCGTCTTTTATGCAAAAAAAATAAAAATAAAAAAGTGAAGCCAATAAAATCAATATACAAACATAATAGCAATTAAAGAAATGTTCAATAAATTACATCAAGTGTTCCACCTATTATTATCCCTGTGGTGGTTGACCTAACAGAGATTTTAATTCTGAGCAAATGTACTCCAGGAAAATGCTGAAAAATAATATGAATCGTTAGGCATTATTTTTCCTTTGTTTGATTTGCATTTATGGATGTTGGCAATTTAAATTGTCCCTTTTTGTGTAGTTCCTTGGTAATGACACTCTATGTCTTGGTTCCCTGTACATCTGGAAAAAGTGAGAGCCAAGAAAGAAATTTCTGGCAATCATGGATGTGCCAACTCATCTCTTTCACACATGTGCCATCTTAATCTATCACCCAAACTCTTCCTGAGTTCAGAAAATATCTGCCTCCATTCCCTTTTGCTATACCATTTTAAAAAAGAGATCTTTTAAAATAACTGATTTAAAAAATTACAAAGACCATCATATTTAACCATTGCAGTACAATCTAGAAATTATTATAAACAGCTACAATTCACCAGCTTATTCTGGGCCATTAATTAAATTAGATTACTGGTTGCTGTTGTGATTATTTTCTATGAAAATAACAGTATTCAGGATGATTTTAAATGTTTTTATTGATTTTTACGTAGAAAGGAAAGAGAGAGAGAGAGAGAGAGAGAGAGAGAGAGAGAGAGAGAGAGAGAGAGAGAGACATCAATGAGAGAAACACATCGATCAGCTGCCTTTGGTATGCCCCCTACTTGGGATTGAACTTACAACCTGGACATGTGCCCTGACTGGGAATGGAACCCAGGATCTCATGAGCCATTGGACAATGCTCAATTCACTGAGTCACACTGGTTGGGCTTCAGGATGGGTTTTAAAAACTTTATTTTAATTCTCACCTGAGGACATACTTATTTATTTTAGAGTGAGAGCGAGAGCGAGAGAGAGAGGGAGAAACATCAATTGGTTGCCTACTGGAGATTGAATCCAAAACTTAAGTATGTGTCATGACCGAACTTGACCTTTTGTTGCACAGGATGACACTCCAACCAACGGATCCATCCAGGGTGATTTTTAGATCATTATTTCTCAGGTGACTATTGCCTGTACCACAACTTAAAATATATCAAAGTGACTTGATATTAATAAATATTAATATCTAAAATAAATATATAGCTATATGGTAACTATACTTATTATCTGTTCTCTGCCCCATATCTTATGTGCTTATATACTTTAATGGCACTTTAAAACAATGATATGAAATTTGTTGTACATTTGTTTCCTACACACTTGCCTATTAGTGCACAACTATGATACAACCAACTACACGCACTGAGTGAATGGGCCTGAGTTTGGCCAGCATCGGGTTAAGCATCAGAGTCATAAGCGATAGTGATACACTTACTTAGACATGTGTATCTAAATGGACATGCACAGAAATAACGTTTTTAAGGACCAGAAAATGCTATAATATATATAACCATAGATTTGTATAGGAGAGTTTTGTTTCCTTGGTCTGTATAAATCCTAGGTAACTTGGCAGTAGAAGTTAAAGTATTCATACATCTCATTAGATGGGTCAGAGTACTTGCGCAGTGGGTAATGTTTGCAATTTTCTGATACAACTTGTTCATCAAGTGTTGTTTTTTATATTTTAGTTGCAGTTGACATGAAACTAAATATCATATTGTACAACATAGTGATTAGACATTTATATACATTTATATACTATAAGCCTAGTAACCACCTGGCACCATATATAGTTATTACAATATTATTGACTATATTCCATATGCAACACTTTATAATCCTGTGACTATTTTTATAACTTGAAATTTGTACTTCTTAAGCCCTTTCTCCTTTTTTGCCCATCCCTCCAAATCT